GCAGCCAATCGCGCCCGGCCCGCTGGGCTGCGCGAGAGCCGCCCCCGACCAATCACCGCGCGGCGCCCGGCGCGCCCCGCCCACCGCGCGCGGCCGTGCGGAGCCCCCCCCACGGCGCGGCCCCGCCCCCGTGACCCCGCCGGCCAATCACCGCGCGCCGCCGCGCCCGGAGCCGCCGAGACCCCGCGAGATTCCCTCACCTCACACAACCCTCACCCCGGGCGGCCCCGCCTCCCTCACCTTCCTGCCACTCACAGCGCGCCGCCGGCCAATGGACTCTGCTCCTGAGCCAAGTCCCTCCCCCGGGACCCGCTTTTCGCCCAATCGCAGCGGCCCATCCAATCCAATTAGCCAATGAAGAGAAACGAAAGCCCGAAAAGAGGTTACTGGGCCAATGGCACCGGCAGGCGGGGCGGCGGCCTGACCGACAGCTCTCCTCACCAGTGGTCGGGGCCGGTGGGCGGTGAAGGAGCCGCCGAATCTCAAATCACGGAGCGCGGCGCCGCGTGACGGATGAGGAAGCGGCCGGTGCGCCCGCCCTCAGGCGGCAAGCGGCCAATGGGCGGGGGAGAATCTGCTGACGGGCGGCGAACGGGTCCAATAGCGGCCCGGGGCGGGGTGAGGTGAGGACGCGGCGCGCGCGGGGTCACTGTGGGCGCTGAGGGGGCGGCGGTAAGCGGAGTGCGAGCCGCGCTGAGGGCGAGCCGCGCTGAGGGGCCGCGCCAGGTCTCGGTGCCCCCGGTCCGTGTTCATGTCCTTGTGGCCTCTCACGGTGCCCGCCAGCAGCTCCCTCCGTGCCCGCTCTGCTCCCGCCCGGGTCACGGTGCCCTCGGGTCTCGCTGGCTGCGGGCCGACCCCGCTCCGTCCCGCCAGGGCTGGTCTCGCAGCACGGGGAGCCGGCGGGAGCTGCCCGCGAAGGGCCTGGGGGTCTGAGGGGTTTTGAGGCCCAGAGAGCGGCGAAGTGCGGGGCCCGTGGTCTGTGGCAGCAGGTGGTGGCACCATGTCAGCTCCCCTTGGCAGGAAAGGCGAATAAACCGCTAGTGAGAGGGTGTAGATGCTCCCAGCAGCACGGCCGTGGCCCATTGCCCGAGGCAGGCTCTGCGAGGCTCCCTTCTGCGTGCTCAGGACACGCTCAGGGGGCTCAGTGCGAGGTACGTGTAAACCAGGACCGAAATATTTTTGGTTATTGTTTTAGTTCCCTCACGCTGTGAATCTGCATGTTTGGGAACTGCAGTCTCTTTGGATAAGGCGTCAGTGTTCCCTAAAACACAGAGATGGTTAAAAACTTGACATTAACATTTTCTCATGTGAATATTAATCATATCTGATTAATAGTTTAACTTCAGAAAAACTCTCCCAGGTTACTGGAGCCTTTCCCATGGTGGTGGAGTTAAATTACCGTGAGGGGGATAAAGAGGTTCCTTCAGGTAACTGAAGTAAGCAGTGACTGACAGGGGATCTGCTGTGCTGGGCGGGAGCTGGCAGCCTGTCCTTCGCTGCCCCTGGCTCCTGTCTGGGCAGGAACCGAGCCCAGCAGAGCTGTGACAGCTGCAGTGCTCAGGTGTTACCAGCAGATCCCTGGATCTGCAGTCTGTCACCTGTCCTTCCTGTTTGTCTCTGAAAACTGGACAGCATCGAGCTCCTCTGCCCGGGGAGGAAGAGAGAGTATAAATGTGACAGACTGTTGTGATTCCTGAAACCTCAATGCAAAAACTGCAAGAATGGGTTTGATACTTTGGGGATGCTTTATAGCAATGAGGTTTGGATAATCTTTGCCTGTTCTTTGAGAATGTAATCAAGAAAAGTCTTGCAGGACTGAAGATGGGTTCCTTTCTTAAAGCTATCTCTGTTGCATTTGGAAATACAATTACTAATAGTCCAGTCTGGAATTATATCAGAGTTTTGCTGTCATGTCACCATTTTAAAAACAAAGACTGCACTTAGGGAAAAAAAAAACAACATATTTTGGTTTACAGCCATTTTATATTACCTATTGGAAGAAGAGACAGAATACTTACTTAGAATTCATATTTGTAGCTGTATGGTTGAGGTTTCTGTTGGAGCTGATAACAAGCTGTGTCTGAATATGGCGCACCCCAAGGGTTCTCCTGGTTTCTGCTTCCCCTCGGGCTCTGGGGAGGTGTGTGGGGGAGAAGGAAGCAAACGGGTACAAAAGGGCACTGGGCTGTGTTGGCAGGACTGGAAGGCTTTTAAAACTCTCCCACACATTTCCATTATGGACTTTTATTTTTTCTGTCTTACTGCAAAACCTTTTCAAGTAGTAAAATGGAGCAGTGCCCTAATAATCCTTGTATGGGAAGTTGGGTTCTCGGTGTATTTGCAGGATGTGTCTTGGTGCCATTATTCAAGTCCAAACACACAGTGTCACCTTAAATGTTTGCTCGGTTGGGTACTTTACTGGATAAATAAGTGTCTTGCCTTAGAAGTACCCTGAAAGTGTTGTTGGCTGCTGTCATGCTGGTGGATCCTCAGCAGCAGGAGCAATGCAGGGATTGCAGTCCTGGCACTGGCACCTGTTTTCCTGACAGCCCTGGACCGCTCCAAACCTCGCTCACCAGCTTCCATCTGGAAATGTTCATAAAATCTGGGAGCCACTTCATTGCCTTTAGATGCACTCAGTGCTACAGCCATGTTCTTTTACTTGCCCTTGGAAGCTGCAGCAGCCCCGCTCAGGGAGGTGGAGGCTGGTGAGGGATGTGTTTATCTTGGTGCCCATATGGAGTTCGTTCAGGTGCCAGCCTTGGGTGGCCCAGCCTAAGGAGTGTATCTTCCTTGCACACTGGGTTCATGAACACTTTCAGCTGGGGTCCCTGGCCTCTGTCACACTGTGACACTTAAGAGCTCTCAGTTCAGCTGCTTTTTAGGCTGTTCATGCTGGGAAAGTCAAGGAGGGCAAGATCCGGTTCCTTCATAGGGAAATATGTGTAAGGAAAAAACCAAAGGGTAGTAAGGAAAACATGGAACTTGCAAAGTGCTCACCTAGAGACCCTTTGTTTCCTCAGCAGAGATCTGTTACTGCGTGTAGAAGTCAACACTGAGCATCTGAAACACTTGTTCATTTCTGAAAATCCACAGCTTCAAGCTTAGTCTTTTCTGACTCTTGAGAGATTTATTTTCCCCTCGGATGTGACACTTGCTTTGCAGGGGTATAATCTCTTTGACAGTGCTCTGCATAGGAGCAGGGGATGGTAGACACTTTGTAATCAGCTAGTCCTGTTTCTCTGATGCTCCTCAGCAGTGTTTTCACCTTAAAATTCTATGCAAAAGATTGTATAAACTTGAACAATATAAAATGTAATAGTCCAGTTCCACACATGATTTGTCAGCTTTTTTTTTCTTGTCCCACAAGAACTAGCTGTGAAAACAGTACTCAAAATATTTGAATAAGTCTTTTGATTGTGTATTATGTATGAATGTCCTTCAAAATTTAGGCATGCAGGGGTTTTGTGAACCTTTAATGCAGAAAAAAATAACATAAAGTAGAACAAAGCATAATAAAATGCACAGATTCGTCTCTGATCCACAAAAGGGGTGCTCTGAGCTGCACTATTGATAATTTATCATGTGGGTGTTTGACAAGCCCACACATACCCTGATATAACACTCTGCAGATACAGTCCTCAGTGTTCTGTAACACCCTGGAAATATTTAATTCATAAATCCTGATGCTGAAGCCCTTAAGGTGTCAGAAACATGGTGCTCATGCCTGTGAATCTGAGCAGGTTTGGTTAGTCAGATAAATACCACGCTCCAAATAGACTGTGATCCTAACGTGCAAAAGAATAAACAAATACTTGAAATATCACGAGATTAAAATTGCCATTCAAGTATGTGAGCCCTTTTCTTTGCAAGGAATAATTTTCTAGAGTTTATATCTTCAAAATCTTTTCTCTGTAAACAAAAAAAACTGGAAAATAATAAATTCCTCCATTAATAAAATGCAGAGAGGAGCAGGGGAAGAAATATTTTGGTTTAGGTTTGGTTTCTGTCTGAACTTTTGAAAGGATGGCAATATTCCTTCATCTAGGAGGAGAAGCAGGATCTGCTGGTATTGTGGAATGAGGGACAAATCCCTGCCCTGCTCAGGGCAGCGTTTTAATAAGCTAGAGGGAAAAGAATCGAGTAATCCAACCGAGCAGGTGAGCTCTGGTGAGGCTGTCAGTCCGGCCAGCAGGCAGGGTGACTCTGGAGCAGCACTGTGGAATGTCCCCTGCCTTGGACAGCAGTTACACGATGGAGCGGTGCTTCCTGAGCAGGGCAGCTCAGGCAGGATGAGGTGGGGGACATGGTGTGAGTGACAGATGGTGTCATCCAAGACTGTGCTTCTCCCTGGTGTTGGACATCAGATCTATAGGCACTTGTGTTGCTTCCCTGGCCTGTCAGCCCCCTCTGGCTCTTGCAGAGCAGTTTTTTGTGGTGGGATCACAGCCCTGCCCCAAGTCTGTCCAATGTGCTGCATGTACAGCTATGATGGTCAGGATTAGCACTGCAGCTTGAAATAATCCCAAAAATGCCACCTCCTAAACACTGAGCTTGTGCTCTGCAGAGCTTTCTAGCCAGAAGTGTTTTCTTTGGAGAGTTCTGAAGGATTTGTGAGTTCTTTGCTGACTGCAGCACTTAAGCATGAGCTTAGCTTTAAGTGGGAATGCTCAGGTGCTTACAGGTGGTTTATAATAATTAGTCATGTACAAACTTAAGCCTGATTGTTTAGTCCTTTCCTAAAAACCAATTGCAGGAGGCAGAGGGGACATCTTTATCCCCTGCTGCTTTCTGGAGAAATGTCACTTCTGTGGTTCTCTCTGTTCTATATTCCTTTGCACCAGAAATGACCCTGCTGCTCTTTGTCGACAGTGTTTCCTTTTATCCCTCTCCTGGCAGCTGCTCTTGCTCCATTCTGATCTTGGAACAGCAAATGAATTCCCTCTGAAGCAAATGTCAAGCCAGTAAAGATGTTGAAGCAGCAAGAAAATCATCTCTGTCTCTGAAGACAGAATTGGAGATCTTTGTGAATGAGATGTTCTTAAAATAGCTGCACAGTGTGTTATCTTCCCTAGAAGGTGCAGAATTGAAAGCATCACCACAAGGCACTTGTCCTTGTGCGAGCAGCATCCCTAAATGATGGGTTTTGGAGAGGGGAGAGAAGCAGGCTACTTAATTTTCCTGCTCTCCAGGCAAAAAGTATTGCATGATTTTAATCTCTGTGTGATGGTACATTTATGTTTTTTCCAAGAGTTGCATTGCTGTTTGCTGCTTGTTTGAATAGGTCACGTGTTGAGTGACCTTGTTCTCCATGGTCCCCTGTTTCTGGAGTAATCTGGGCACTAAAAGTAAAGCCAAGGCACAGGTTGAGTAGAGGTGCTCTGAATTGCCCTGTCTGAGGATCAGGGTGGCCTCTGTGCAGAGCAGGGATTCTCAGCTGCTGGGGTGTGCCACAGCCTGGAGAGGCTGAACTCAGCATCGAGTCACATCATGCACTTCAGTTCCTGCCTCCATTCAAACCTGTTGCCCAAGGAACAGCAGCTTTGGAAATCTCCCATGGAACTTTGGAGTCGCTGGTGGTGCAAGCTCCATCTCTGTGGTCAGACAGACAACAGACATTGGTTGTACGTGGAGAATTTGGTTCGTTTGGGAGCTCTTGCTGAGATTTTTCCACTCTCAGCTAGTTTGGGGTGTTTGATTCCCTGACAGCCTCAGGAGAGAGTAATCCAGAAAAGTCTGATACAACCTTTTGCCAGAATCATGAATAGAATCTTTTACACGCCTGTGAATATCTGAATACTTCTATTTTTCTTCAACTTGATGGAAGGGAATTGATAAGTAAAAATACTAGATGCAAAAATGAAATCACTAATTGAAGAACAGGGATTTTTTTATAGCTGTTTCATAATTATATTCATAACATAAGTTTAACTAGGAGAAATGTTAAAATTTTGACATCTTCAGCTTTTCATCTTTTGTGTGAAGGTGGAAATAAGTAGCTGTACTGATATAAACACCGAGTTTCCAGAGGTTTCTCGGTTGTTTTAAGACTATTATTGTTTCTCCTAGTCCTGTTTTTTTGACATGATAATATCTCTTTAAGGGCTTGCTTTACCAGATCAATTCCTTTCCTACCAGGAGAACTAAAGCTTTTCAGCTGTCTGTCCAATTTATCCTTCTGGACTAAATTTCTCATCTCGAGATAACCAGCAGCAACTCTCCCCTCAGGAGATTTGTATCAATTAGTTCTGCATCACTAATTCCTGTGGTATTGGGGGACCAGTGGGTTGTAAGGAAGCTGCTCTGTAAACAGTTATGACTGTTGGGGGTTTGTCTTTACTTTTTTTTGCTGGGAGGCCGTGGGTGCCATCACTGGAGCTCTTGCTCGTGCTTGCCCTGTCCTTGCCCACGAGGCTGGGCACTGCCTCACTGCACAGGGTGTGCAGGGCTGTTCTGGGCTTGGCTGCCTGGTGGGTTTGGGACATGTGGGCTCTGTCTCTCTGGCTGCAGCAGTGCCACCCCTGGTGTCACCAGCTCTTCACATGGCCGGCCTGGTGGCACATGGGAAGTCACTGCCACTGTTGATAATGTGAGGGGCTGATGCAGTCTGGCAGGAAAGCAGGTTAGTCTGCAGCTGGAATGCAGGCCAGGCTTCACCTAATCCCTCCCTTAGCCACAGAGAGGTGGCTTTAATCTATTTATTCTGCATTTGGTTGTTTTTTCAGCACTGATCTATCTGCAAATGCCATTGCACCCTTAGTCTGTTTCTATCCATTTGCCATTAGCAGATGTGTGGGGACATGAGGCTGTTTTCAGTCACTCCAGTCTAATCCCAGCAGTGCTGTAGGATCCTGGGAATTGTTCTGCATTTATACAGAAGTAAATGTCGTGTAACATGTCATTTTTTAAGAACCTGCTACCAGCAATTTTAGGATTTTGTTAGACAGCTGATTTTCTTTTTGCTGATGTTTTAGACAAAACTAATTTGATAGGAATATTAGAAGAGGAAAATTAAAAGGACAGAGTCATCCAGGAAGCTCATTAAAATGGAAACCCTGAAAAAACTGGGTAATTGGGCATTGATTCTGTCCTCCCCCCCTCACTTTATGAGCAGTATTGTATTAAAAGTAACATGTCTGCAGGATGATGCTTCAACATCTGTTACTGCTGAAACAAAATGATTTGCTTGTTTTTTCCTGTCTACATTCTTCCAACATCTGCATGTGTACATCTATCCTGTATATTTTTATCCCATCTAACACAGCTCCTTTCCAGGGAAAAGGCATCAAAGGGAATGAGATCCTCCCTTAGGTTTGGAGGGGGATTCTGCATTGCCACTCACTTGGATTAGATCTTGGGTGAGTGGCTGTGAAATGAATCATGTGAGCGAGGACCCAGGGCTGCTCGGGGAGCCCAGGCACAGCTTTGGTGCTCTGACATGTGTCTGTGTGGAACAAAGAAGTTCACAGGCTGTCAGCTGCCTGCCTCCTGAAATATCAGTGTCACATTATGGGATTAAACCTATGCAAATAATTGTCCTTATTTTCTGTTCTCAGAATATTTGCAGGGAAATCACATTTTTTAAAAAGTATTTCACTCTGAAGATGCTTGATAATTGTGCTGGGATTTAGATTTTTTTTCTTTATAGGCTGATTCAATAAATTGATTCTAAATCTAGCTTGCTGAATGTTTGCTATTCCAATCACTCTGGCTGTGATTATTGTGATAGTAAGCAATATACTTTCTTTGGTTTAAGTTTTGGATATTTACTAAAATATACATGGTTGCATATGCCAATCTTAAAATTCAGTTTATTTACAAGTGTGACATTTTTCTTTCTCTCATATAGTAAATATGCTATAAAAATACAATTTATTAAAGGTTCTTAGCAAGAAAAGAGAAAAAGCTGGCCAATAGATTTGAAATAATATTGGGAAATATTTTCTGATCTCTAATCATTATGATGTGTCTTTCAGTCTTGAAAGTAAGCAGGGGAAATTTGAGCATGGTAAAGCACATGATTAAATCTATTCCTATCCAGCAAAATTCTTCAACTTGATTTGAAGCATGTGCTTTAGTTACAGTAAGATCTCATAGCTATTCTTTAAACCCAGACAGTGTCAGACTGACCAAATATTAGAATTGCAAGGTAAATACTGCAGTAAATAAGATAAATATGGGTGTTGGCTTTGCCATGAACTTGTCAGTGGTTTTGACTTATACAGTCATTTTTATGGCAGTTGGAATCAGAAAAGAATGGAAATTTCAACTAATTTTTTAATATGCTGAAATGTATTAAGTTACACAAAAGAATCCATATTATAGTAATCCTGCATATATACAGGGAAAGAGTACCCAGCGTGCATGGCAGATGGTTTCAAAGGAAATCCTCGAGAGCTAGGATTAAAAAGCAATTTTCAGCAAGTTTAAAATGGGTCTCCATATTTGGGTCACAGATATTAACTCTTTCATTGCAAACAAATGAGGGAGAAGTCTGGTCAGATTGTGATGGAAATGTTTCTCCCAGTAGAAGCTGACCAGTTCGTGCTGGGGAAGAAAGGTGTGAGCAGAGCAGTTGATTCTGCTCCTGGTCCTGTTGTCACATCACTGGGAAGCAGAGTTCTGGCATACAGAGACAGGGATATAATGCAATAAATGGGATTCAGCATTCCACCAACAAATACTGGCAGCTCTCTGAAAAATAATGTGTTTGGCTTTCATCTTTGCCCACTAAAACAAATTTCCATAAAGACAAATGGATAAATAAATTTTAGCATGCTAGGAACAGCAGATTTATACCTGTTTATCTTCAGTAAATTATTACCAATCACTGTATTAAAGTGTAAAGACTTTACAGGTAGCATTTCTGTATTCCTTTTGGGTATGGTGAGCATGTATGGTACAGGAAAAAAAACGAATTGTTGCTCTGTCATAGGCAGGAATGAACATGGGCTCCTAAGTTTTGCTTGGAAGGATGTCTGTGAATGGAAAGGAAGCCTGTTTTTCCCAGACATGTTTTAGGGGCACACTGGCATTTTATTATATAGTAAAATCAACAGTGTGACCCAGCCATTGTTGGAGGCTGCAGCTGTTTGGAGGTGGCACAGGAACATGCAGAAATCTTGTCACCAGTCTGAGGCACAGAGGGATTGAGTGCAGGTCAGCTTTGTGCTGGAGGATCACGAGAAGGCACTAGGCTTTTAGTAGATAAAAATAGGGCAGCAAGTTGGAGATTATTGGCTTTAACTAACTTATACCAGTCAGTAACCGTGTCAGGAGTGTAACTCACGTTTACATCAGTGCTCTTTATACACTTTGGCAGCACAAAGGAACCTCGAGTTTGACATGAACTTCTCTTTAGAAGACACTTCCACTTCCAAAGTGGAAATTCAAGTTAGACGTTAGGCACTGGTTATCACTGAACAATGAAACAGAGGAACTGATTCTGTTTTATTGTGTTCCCACAGCTCAGCTGGGAGTATTTGGAGTAGGTTTGGATTTCTGAGCCCAAGTGCCTGATGCTCTGCTAAGTGATTTGTATAACTCACTGCTGGTTTGAATATCAGCCTAAGGAGAAGTTAATAGTGTTGCTCTCTGGGTATTACATTGGCTATGAGCGAACAGAAGAGGGCTGCACTTCTGAAAGGGTGTGGTGAGTGTCCTGGTGGGATAGCTAAGTGCTAATTAGTAATGCTAATGAGAGGTGTTTTCTGCTCCACTCAGCCAAGGTATTTATCAGAGGTCCTCTGCTCTCAGAAAGGAAAATTTAGGTGCTGGATGAAAATAAGGCAACTTTTAGTGTTTCGTCTTGTACCAGAGCTAGAAAGTGTCAGTGGACCCGGGATGAGCTTTTAAAGTTGAATCTTTTCTTCTGGGTTCTTGTTTCACATCACATATTACAGTAGGTCTGCCTGTGTGCATCCTGATATGGCCTTCAGAGGCAAATAAAAGTGCTGACATTAGATACCAAAACTAGAACATCCCAGGCTGTTGTCAATCATCGTGTCACCAAGCTGTGCTACTATTAAATACCTGGGGAAAAAAAATTCATCTGTGGCAGCAGCTGTCTTTGATCCATGTGTTTGTAAATGTGCTTGAGAGTTTCGCCTTAGATATTTCAAAGACTCAAGTCTTTCAAAGGGAGGCAAAATAGATCAGTTCAGAGTCTGTGTCGTTGTTATCTTCCAGGACTTTTGTTTCGAGTAGTTTTTGAAAGTGTCTGTGACAGGATCTGAGATAAAACCTGATCCAGATGTCTTTGGATAGCCAGAGAAATCTGTTTGCTTGACTTCAACAAACTTAGGACAGGTTCTAAATAAACAAATTAGTGTTGGCTTTAGAGAATGAGTTGCTTTGCTTTACTCACTGTATAATCATGTATTCAAGAAAAAGCAGTTTCTTGTGTGCAGTCTCTTGTCACTGCGTCCAAAGCAGTTTTTTGTATACAGAATACCCTAAAGTAATTATTGTCATGGTACAGAGTTCTGAGTGTGAGAAACGGTGGCTTTTAAAGGAGGTAAATGCTTTCTTACCTCCAGCAACTCTTATCAGGAAATATTGAAGGGTCAATTCTCCTCAGTCAGAATTTCACTCTACTTAAACCTTTTTGTAGAGTTTATTTTTTAAAGGTTTTCAGAGTAGATGACTGAAAGCAGCAGCCTGTTCGTGTCAAAGCCATGCATTCATGTCTGATGTAACTGGTCAGACAAAAGTGAAAGCTCCCATAGGGATAAATTGAGCTATGGTTGGGCTTCTCAGCACTTTTTTATTAATGGCATTTCAAGTAGCCAGTTGAGGAGAAACAGATAATGAAAATTGATTCTTCTCTGCAGGTCTCTTGCTTACTTTTGGACTTGGACAGGCCTAATCTGTGAAGATAATTAAAGTTCCTCTACTCTGGATGCTGTAAGTGAATTTTTTGTTGCGTTTATTGTATCTGGTTGAGAATATGCACCTGAAGTATCAGCATTGACCAAAATATCATGTAGAGAGCTTAGAGGGCTGAAGAAACTTGTGAATGAAGAATGTTCCCATTGGCAGTGACACAGGGTGGTGGCCCTGGCTGTCATGAGCATGGCAGTTGTTTGAGTTCCAGGTGCCATGATAACAGAGTGGAACATTTCAATACCTTTTGCTATTCCCAGAAGAGGCCTTCCCACTAAAACCTGTCCCTGTGCAGCAGAGCCTTTGGACATCTGGGATAATGCTCCCCTAGAGCAGGGAACGGGCTGTGGCTGGCACTGCAGGAAGGCAGAGGATGTGTGGGAGGCTGGCAACAGAAGCCACGGCTTTGACCTTTTTGCAGCCTCCCTTCAGGGTCATAGGACACGGCTCTCTGCTGCTTAACTGTCACAAGTGGGGAAAATGACACGTTTCTTATTTCTGCAAGAGTGTCTTTCAAATATCTGATATTCTTCCACCAATTAAAGCATGCAAAGAGCTCTTCAGATCCCCATTTTCTCCCCAAAGCTGTGGGAACAATTTTCTGGCTTGTAGAACAAAGAACTCAGAACAGATGACACAGCCAACATCTGCACCTGGCTCACTGAGGAAGCCAATGTTTGGCATAGAGGCTGAGCTGCCCTCTGCCAAGAGCCGTGCCGATGCACTTGTTCAGGGATGAGGATGGCAAAATGTCTTTTCCTTATTGACTCACCAAAACAGTTTAATTGATCTGTCAAAGTGAAAAAAAAATTGGGAAGGAAAATGTCTTTACTTTTAAGTATCAGAGTTTAGTCAATGGTTAATCCAGTGCTGTCTAACCAACCCCGTGAAGATTTTGGTGGTGTATCACTTCAGTTCCGATGGCAGACACATCACATATGGGTTGCCATTTTGATGGCTTTGAATGGTAATCTGACCCATAAAAACTGAAGCATAATATGCAAACTGATTTTTTTCTGGCCTGCCCTGTTCTTGGTGCCATCTGTGTTAGGATGGAAACGAGCCTGCTCCAAACGTGGGCTGCCGGTTTGGAGCTGATCACAGATGGGTTTGAAAGAATAGCCTGTGAGCACATGGAGAGGGAGGATGCTCCTGTGCAGGAAGTTTCACTTGAAACCATGTTATGTCTGCTAACTCCTATGGCCTATGGAACAGCCACCTGGCCTTTCCCTGAATTCTTCATATGGATTAAGTACACTAAATTTACCTTCTAAATATCAAGAAAACCCCCACAACTTCTAAATATTGCTCTTCTTCCACCACTGTGTTCTACTGCTGTCATCAATAATGGGACAAAGTACAGGAAGCTGACATTACCTGACCCTGTCAGGTATTTGCTGTGCATCTGTTCAGGAAAACTGGGCACAGTAAATTATTTCATGAGTTTTGTAGGTCAGTTGTAATCTATAGTGTGAATCCTACTGAACTTAAAGGATTCAGGCTGCTGTTTCTGGATTTCTGTCTTTGACAATTAATAAAAGTCCGTGTTGTAGGTGAAGGTGAGTACCTGTCCTCTGCTGTTGCATCTCAGGTCAAAACTTCAGATATTTAAGTTCCTAATTCTTACTGTGGTCAATGAGATCTTGGTTTATTTCTCATGTTGAGAGCTTGTTCTCTAAAGTTAGAGATTGACTGCCCTTGTTTTACATGGAACCACAAGTGTCCTGGTATGTATTAAATAATTTTCACTGGTTAGGAATATGGTGTACAGAACTCTGATGTCTTTTTTTCCTCTCTTTAAGTCAATGACATTGTTTGAGTGACCGTTTCTTTGTCAGAAAGGAAGCCTGTAGAAGGCAGCACTCATTGATGAGTTTCATGGTCGTGACACACTTGAACATCCCTCTCAAGACATCTTGAAACCTTTTATTTCCAGGCTAAATAAACACCAATTTCAGCAGTGTCTCATCTACTCCCTTTAATTACTGCTGCTGAGAGAAAGTTTCTGCCAATGCAAATGTGCTATTTTGTCATGTCACATCAAATTGCATCAGCCTTATATTTAGGAACAAAAAGAGGGGGAGGCTGAGACAGGATGTGGCTACAAATGGAACCAAAGGGTTTTCTTAAATATAGGCTGAAAATAGACAATCGAGGCAGTGATGCTTTTTCAAGCAAAAATCCATGAAAGGGAAAATGAAGGCAGTGACGGCAGGGCTGGGGTGGGCAGAGGGAGCTCTGGGGGAGGAGGGTGCTGGCAGGGAGGGGCTGTGAGCTCCTGGCACAGACACCCCGCTGTGTCAGATGGGCAGGAGGTGCCTGTGGGCTGTGGGAGCCCCCACCTCGTTCCTGAGGGAGGGAGGGAGGGAGGGGAGCTGTGCTTCCCTGCAGCCTGTGCCTGCCCTTTCCCCTCTCCCCTTTCCCATGCAGCAGTAACTCAGCTCTCTAAACTAAAGAGATTGTGGGAAACAGGCATAGACAACATTTGAGTGGTCGTTCAGATAAATGTAGGAGACTTTCAACAATCCTTCACACCACTTCAAAATGTAGTGTCTCTATTAAAATAATATTTTTTAAAACTTGCTCTTTAGAAAACATCAGCAGCTTTCCCATGGAAAACACTTTTTGCCCCCTCAGTACTGGGTACAAAATGATCTGTTGAAATCAAATGCATAAATTATGGATGTAATGGAGCTTGCTTTGAACTGATGAGTCTGATCAGAGCCTGGTGGCAATTAAACGAGTTCTGAAAGATCAGCTGTGTTTGAGAACCAGCAGAACTCAGGAGGGAAGTGATCTGGGGGTGTGTGAGCAGCACCTACTTAGCAAATTGGAAAAATACTATTAATTTCTTACATCTAAGCACTTGGAATCTCTCGTCAGAAGCAATTGGTGATGATAGAGGTAATATTTTTATTCTTGTCACCAAGGATAATAAAAATGCAGTAAAAGCTTAGAAACTTCTGTATTTACAGCACTGTGACAGGGGTGCTTCCTCCAGGCACAGCCCTGACACATTCTGGTGCTATTCCAGCATTAATTTGCATAGAATTCCTTGGATTTCATTGCCATTTAACCCACCTCCCAAGATTTAACCACATCTGATTTTTGCCTCCACTGACATTTTCTTTTCTTTTTAAACACATAAGCATTAAAAAACCCTCAATAAAATGTGTGTATTTTCATAGCAAGGAAAGCATTTCTGTAATACTCTTTCAAAGCAAATCACAGAAATATTAAAGGGGGAGGAAAAAGATAGATGCTTGGTTTTTAGAGTTGAGGTTTGTTTGTTTTGAAATGAATAAGTCTGAAAATACTAAATAAAAACTGCAGATCAAATGAAAAGACTCCATAAGCAGCATCCTCCAGATTGTTCCTCAAAAAAAACACCCAACTGACAACAGTACAACAGAAAACTGTTCTTAATTAACATCTTCAGTTAAAGGAGAAGCATTGTGGATCTCTTAAATGTATTATTAAATCTTCATTGTTTAGATAATTGGATGGGGACAGACACTTGTGCTGAGTGCTGTGTCAAATTCGTCAGGGCCTGCTGTAATTCTAGTGCACTTGCTGGATTTCACAGCTATTTGTCTGGGTACAGGGTAATTTGGAGGGTTGAGTGAAGCCAGATGACTGTAATGAACTCATTTCGTGTCTTTGACTCAGTTTGGGGGAAAAAAAAGGTGCTATTTATAGGGTATTTTGTATTGTTAAGACTTCTGTTCTTCCTGTCCTTCAAAGTTTCTCTGGGTCGCTGTCTTTGCTTCATCACTGATAATTATATCAAATTAATTCAGCATAACTGAGTTAATTATTAGCACCAGAGGTTACCACCAGGACTTCGATTGAATCAAAGCTTTTATCCCCCTTTTCCTGAGGTTTCACCAAATGTAAACATACCAGAATCATGGGTGAACCTAAGGCAGCTCCGTTTCCATCAAGTGCTTTTGCCACTCAGACTTGTCCTGCCACGCTCATTCACTCAGATGAGTATTGATAATGCAAAGGGAAAAGAGTTTCTCTGACCCCCCTCCATCTGTGCCAGAGCTGTGAATTCGCTGAGTTGCTCAATAGAGTTGTGTGTTGTGTGTAATCAGTTAAGAGTGAGCCCTGTACTGCCCAGGGCAAATGTCCTGTGGGCTTCTGGGGCATGTCTGGATTTGCAAGAGCTGCCTGCTGCCCACACCTTTGTTTTTCTTAGGCTGCCTTTCAGCAGACTGGGCCTTGGAGTGACAGTGGAATTTTGGGGACAATTTGAGCTATGGCTTTAAGAGCTCAGAAGTGTCCCGAAGACATGGCAGATCTGCCCCTGATTAGCTGTTGGTATGGAAACAATCCCTGATTAGTGAGCTGGGCCAATCCCCTCAGAGGCTAAAGGCACCCAGACTGACGTGTCCTGTAACACTGCTGCTGGAAACATTGCTCAGGATGTGGTGGGGCCAATTCATCCACGGTGCAGTTCTACCACACACAGGGTTTATGCCAGGGAAAGAAAGGGTCGGCTCAGATTATTGCTGTGATTGAGACTGAAGGACAGGCAGTTGAAATTGCTGAATTTCAGCAGGTGTGCATTTGGAATGATGGACATTGAGTTGTTCCTGACACAGCTCCAGGGTGAGGTGTAGATCCCAGGGCAGGGCTCAAGCCCCATCATCACCATCCAGGCCAAGTATTTTAAAATTAAACTGTAGTCAATAGTGTAAATCACAGTGACTTCTGCTGTTTTAAATTCTGACTCTCCACCTCTACGAGTTTGTCAACTCTTGTACTTTCCTAAGCAGAGCTCTTTCTGCACTGACAACTCCTTGTTTTACCCTCTTGACTTTTTTTTTAATTATAAAGTTGGATTGCATGAGCAAAGTGAGCACGTGTTAAAGAATAATGGTAAAATAAAATTTAACCCATTTCAGTCCTTCCTGAGCAGTGAGAAACCAGTACAAAACCTTATGTAAGACTTACTATTCTTCCCATGCTTGTGTGAGCCATAGTCCATGCAGTTAATGTGCTCATTAATCTGACAGCGTGGCTTTGCCCTTCAAAGACATTTCCATGCCTGTGCTGCCAGCTGGGTGTCTGTCCATCAACAGCACTCGTGGCAGCTTATTTGGTGCCCAGTTGGATGTTTTAGGGGGTGATACAAGAAAGTTGTTGCACTAACTGGTATAAAGTAGTTGGGAGAATCACAATTGCTGAACTGGAACTAAGCACTGGAACGTTTCAAAATACAATATTTACAAGAAAGGAAGGAATGAACAGGCAGTTTTGGTTTAAAGTTGATAACTCAATTCCTATTCAGGCATGATCCCAAAGGTAAATACTTACAGATTTGGCTGCTGAGAACAAAATTAATTTTAACAGCAGTTGAACTGAGCAATTCAGAGCTGGGAAGTAAAAGTTCTTTTGAGACTGTGCCTTTCAGAATTTCCTTTAAGCCAGGAGAATCATTTTCGGGAGAAAAAAGTGGAGAAGTCTGAATTGCTCCTAAACCAGGGAGGTTCCTGTACTCACAAGTGAGCATGCACCAAAGAATAATACTCTAATTAGTCTGATCATGCTTATTAATTATACAGAACAAGGTAATCTGGCCTCAGCATGGGCAGAATGTTTCCTCACTGGTGTAGGATTGCAAAAGCCTGAGTGTTTTATTTGCAGTATTGCATGTCTCTGCTGTGTGACACCAAACCAGAGTGTAAGGTAAAACATCTGCCCTGTGGCTTTGGTTAATTTATACAAGTGGTCATTATGCCCAGCTCTAGCACTCTTTGTCATTCTCAAATTTTACCAATTTAGTTTATATTTTGTATTTTTATTATATTCATAATTTATTCTGTTTTATATTTGCAATCTGGTGACATTGTTGAATAGCATTAGGCCTGATCCTGATGCTGTAGAACTGCATGAAGGATGTCCAAGCAGTGGTGAGTCCTTGTCAACAAAGATCTTTGGGATCTGTCATTTGCCAGTTCTTAATCCTTCGTGTGCTCTACAAATACTGTGTAAAGCAAATTTTACACTGCAGGGCTGTGCCCCCACATTGTTCTGCACAGTCACCTGACATTGCTTCTGCCTCCTGCATCAATCACGGCCTAAAGGGGAGAGGAGCAGAAATGGAAGAGAGCAGAGCAGGCCCGGCTGGCAGCACTCGTGCAATGGGACTTTGCAGCTCGTGTTTGGGAAGGACAAAACCCCAACAAAGGCCGGCCCCAGCTCGTCAGAAGCGATCACATCAAAGGCGCAGAGCTCAGTGAGAGCCAGCGAGATGTGGCCGCTGGAAGTGACTGCGCCATTGTCCGTGCTCACCCACACAGCAGGGCCGGGCTGGGGGCGTTCCGAGCCCCGAGGGGCTGGGAGCAGGCACGGCCGGACAGACGGACAGACAGACAGACAGACGCTTTGCCTGGGGCAGCAGAGCCCCTCCCACTGGCCTGGACGTGGCAGGCGCTCCGTGCCCCGCTGGGGCTGCGGGAGTGTGACAGAGTCACGGCAGCGAGGGCAGCCGTGTCCCGGAGTTTGCCCCTCTGCAGGCTGACCCTGGGACACCTGCAAGGGAGGATGGATGTGCCCGAAGAGTAAGAACTTTCTGGGCAGCTGCTCTTCACTTGGTGCCTTCCTGGGCTGATGTCAGAGCATGAACTAAGATGTTCTGTCGTTAAAGAGGTCTCAAAAGGTTTCTGATTTCTTTCTTATTTTGGCATTCCTGAGATCATGAGGTTCATCTTGATGAGGATGGGGAATCATAAATTCCTGAGTTAAGATTTCTAAGGGTGTAATACTTCAAAGTAGTAGAACACATCTCTGGCTTGTATACTGGGGAAACAGAGGGCAGAGTGGGAAGGAGGAGCCAACCTGTAAACAGCAACAGCTCAGGTAACTCTTGCAGTCCTTTAATTAACACTTCTAGTCTCTGGAGCCCAGCTTTGGTGGCTGTTTAACTAGTTCGGAGGGATTGGGATCATAACTGTTGAACTGTGGGGATTTGCCTGAAAAACACAATAGCAGAAAGAAAAAGTAAACTGTGAGCAGTGACATAGTGTCATCTCAGCTTCATCAGGGTTCTGCTGTGCACGGGGTCAATTGTCAAACCTGCTAATGCAGAGTGAAGATTAATTGGCTTTGGTCAGCCTTTGCTTCACTATCTGAATATCATTATCAGGAATGTAAATGATTATGCAATGCAGAGAAATGCCACAATAGTCTCAGTGTCTCCTTTTATACTTGTCTCTTTGTGAACGGGGCTTTATCTAAATGCAAATGTGATTTCAGCCTTCTGATTAGGACATTATACAGTCATCCATTCCAGAAAAGCACAATTAGCAGATTATTTTATTTCTGACTCAACAGTTCTTGGTGTAGATAGTTTGTTTGTTGTGCTGTGCATGATATTTAAGTTATCAGAGGAGATTTACATTATTAGTCAGTATTATAGCCAGATTTTGTGAGGTCGAGGGTTTTTGCGTGGCAGATAAAACTGGTAACGTTTGTGGGATTCGAGGGGAGATGTTTTTAGAACAAAAGGCAACAGTGCAGATTCTTACTGTGCTTCATTGTCCTTTTTGTGCTGAGGAAGGGGCAAATCACAGTGGAGGCTGTGCAGATTCTCCAGTGCCCTGGGGTGCACAAGTGCAGAGCTCAGCATTAGCTGTGGTCAGGATCTAGCACCTCTGAGGTGTGCTTGTACAGGCACCAGCATCCTAGAATTTAACAACGGGCAGGTCATGAGATTATTTCTTATTAAACAGCCACTTTACCAAAATAGCTATCAAGTTTTCCATGTGCTGTGGTAGATTTCCAGGGGAGTTTTCACTGGATGAAGTTACATCCTAAGAAAAACATAGATCTTTGGTGATAAACTTCCCTGTGAAACTTGCCCATATCACAGCATTTGTAGCATTTTTGGAGCTGTGAATCTGTCAGAACTCAGGTGATTTGTTTTTTAATTTGAATATAAGAGCCTCATAAAAGTAGTTAACGTTTGAAATTGAAAATTTCCATCTTCAAATCTTTTAGAAAATCCAGTAAAGGATTTTTTCCCCCCAAAAAATCATCAGTGCTAATGTATTTGTCACACAATTTGAATTCAACAGCTCATCATTTTCCTATGAAAAATTATTGCAGTGGAAAATTCCTAATTATCTATAGTGAAACATTTTCAGTTCCATTGATCAGCTTCATCTTTCCATATCCATATGTTTCCATGACTGGTTCCTTCCTCTCTCCCAGAGCTGCTTTTCTGTGCTGGAGCAAGCTGTCCTGAACAGTCCCAGCTCATGAGGGAACTTTGCATTTGTGACAGGAAATCTATTGCACCACTTAGATTTAATTAGAGCACAGTGACATATGATGGGTTTACACATCAAAGCCTAGAAACAACTTCACAAATTGGCTCTGGTCCCAAAGTGGATGTTGGGATCTGTATTGAAGTTTGGGATGTTTCACTGTATTTAGTGGGAATATGTGAAATGCAGGGTCAGGTTCTTAGGGTCAGTGGAATTATACAAATTCTTACCAGCCAAGGATAGAGCCCAAAAAACTTGAGTGTAAAGTTAAATTTGGGTTCAGATCAACTTGAATCCAGGTACATATTCCAGTTTTCTGTATTGGATGATAAAAACTTCTCTCTCTCATGGAGAGAAGGGCAGGGAATAATTCAGTCTCTATGTTAGGAGTCACATTTTGGAGTTGCTTTTCTTTCTGCTGCTGGAATGGGAATGCAGGGATCTCTCAGCTGACTATTGGGCATGTAATCACCTCCCATACTTGAATGTCAAAGTGAGATGAATCCAAACCAAAAATGCATGGAGCTGATGCCCGGCATAGGTTTCACTGCAAAGACAAAAGGATATTTTACAGAAGAAAACAAGAGATGAACGTGTTGAAGCCTGGAGGTATTTTGATCCCATTATGATGGGCATTTATAGGTGCATAGAGAGGAGATTTTCCCCACTGCAATAAGATGTAGTCTGTGCAAATATACAGCCCAGGCATGTAATAGCTGTCATGGTGTACTCTGAAATACATTTGACTAAAGAACTGTAATTACTTGCGAAAAAGGAAAAAAACTATTCCAAATAATGAGTAGGTATCAGATGCTAAAACAATAGCATGCACCTACTTCATTATTCAGTTGCTTATTTATTATGTTTATTCTTAAGAGTAATGATGTAAAAGTGCTTTTTCTGCAAATGTTAATTTAGTTCTCTACAGATGGCAACCATCTGTTAAATGACAAGACATTTACAGTCTTTGATTAGCACTTTATAGGACTTGGATGGACTTACTGCTACGACATGTAAATATAGTTATGGAAGTGAAACTTGGTAGATTTGTTCTTTTCCTGTTGCTGTTACCAATACATGTAAAATTTCAAACCTGGTAATGTTTTTTCCTGTCTTCTCCTATATTTATCCATGTTGTTTCCAGCAGAAGCCTTGAAATTCTTGACAGAATGACAAAATAGGAAATATTGTTAAATTCCAGCACCATTTGTAGTCATTATGAGTGTCTAATTCTAAAAAGCCACCATGTGGATGAACTCCTAGGGATGCTCAAGGGAAGCACTGGGAGTTTGAAGGACTTTAGGGATCCTGGCTTAGCGAGTAGGAACCTCACTGTGGGCTGTGATACAGGTTCGGGTAGGCACCAAAGTTACTCTGGCAATCTGTAAAACCCTGGCACAATTGTCTGTAAAACCTGGCACACGTGGCTACTGCCATCACAAAGTGACCCTCTGGGGTGAGCTCACACTTTGTGTTTACTCCCTGAGCAAAGGCAGCCAGGCCCCGTCTGTCCCTAAACCCTGCGACTTCATTTCACGTTGGGCTCTCTGCAGGTTGTGCTGCCGAGCCTCGGTCTGCCGGCCGTGTTCTCCCTGTGTGCTGTTACTTTGTGCTTTTATTTCTGTGCTGTCAGTAGCACTGACACTGCTCTGGTTTGTTCTCCCTGTGTATTGTGACTGTGTTTCCATCCCGTGCCGTGGTACCTGACGCTGCTCCGTTCTCCCGCAGGGCCCGGCCATGCCGCTGCCGCGGGCGGAGCTGGTGCGCAGCTCTCTGCAGCTCTACCGGTACCTGCTGCGCTGCTGCCGCCGCCTGCCCGCCGGCCCCGTCCAGCAGCACTACAGACACGCCATCAGACAGGTCAGACACCCCGCCGGCGCCCGGGGGCTCCCCTGCTGCTCTCCTGCAAGCTTGACACCTTGGTGCATTTGAAGGGTTATACTGAGAGTGTGTGAAGGACCGTTTCTTTTTGTTTGCTTTGAATCTGAAACCTATTTTTCTCGGCTTTCATCTCTAATTCTTGTTTTAGTCAAGAGAGTGAACAGTCATTACTTACTCCATAAACACACCCTTTATGAGGAGACCTGGCTCCTTGTCAGTCATTTATATATCCCCCATCTGGGTAAATCTCATCTGACTGTTCGTATTCCACACTTCATATGGAAGCAATTTCATGCCTTTGATCATACCTGATGTCCTGTGTCTTTCTAGTTTTAACACACCAGACAATTTCAATTGTTCTGAATTGAAGTTCTCTGGGGTTTTTGTTGTTATTGTATGAAAGGAGTAGAATACTTAACATGAAATTCCATATGACCAGATTTTTTATGGAAAGAGGATGGCCAGGTGTTACAATGTGTAGTTTTACCTTTCCAGACCAACATTTTATTTGCAACAAATATTTTTCTGAGATTTAAACGCTGTCTTTATTTTGCCAACTGTTGTGTTGACAAGTCAGTGACACTTGGAATGTTGCAGAGTTTCAAGGTCCATGCTGATGAAGACGATCCTGAGCGAATCCAGCAGATCATTAAGAGAGCCATTGAAGATGCTGACTGGGTGATGAATAAAGTAAGTGCCTCGGATTGTCTGCCTTTTGGTTTCAGTTCAGAACAAAGAAGAAAACATTGGAAAGCAAGTTCTGAATAGGGAATTGTTGTCCTGGATGTTGAAGTGTCTGAGTGAAAGGAAATATCCAGCCAGGAGGAATCTGTGATTGTTTAAAAATTCTCTTAGTATAAACTAATGTTGGGTTTTTTTCAGAACCAGTAACAATTTAGGTTGATCTCTGTGTCCTTGTTTCCATGAAGAATTCTATTAAATATCAGTAGTGGTGGCTAGTATCACTCTATTATAGGAGAAAAAATTTAAATACAGCATTTTGCAAGCCACATCTTGCTATGCATCATCTGCTTTCCTAACAGAATTTATAGTCAGACAATTTACACGAACTTCCAGAACTACTGTTGCTTTTCCTCAGACCTTGCCCATGCTGCAGAGATCAGGGATAGACCACACAGGGGCAAAGCTGTGGGTGCACAGTTGGCACCCAGTGGATCTGCCCCTGTGCTGTCAGTGTGGTTTCTCAGATGGAAGGATGAGGATGGTTTGCAGTAGACAGCTGAGAGTGAGTGACCTGTGCTTCCTGGGATTTCGGTCTGGCTGGGGAGGATGATACCTTAACATGGTGGATAATCAAACAAGTCAAAAGTTCAACTTGCTCTCTAAATATCTATGATTTAATTTACTAAGTGACTGTTAAGTCCTTCTCTCTGCCAGTCCATGAAATCCAAATGAGAATTGTTATAGGAGCAAGCACAGATTAGTCACAGATTATATTAGCAGTAACCAAATTTCAGCAGGTACAATCTAGTCAATAACTGTGCCTGATTTATTGTTTTATGCTGCAAAGGGAAAGCCTACAAAATTTCAATCTAACTTAATGAAAAAGGACATAAATTTATGTGGATCATGAAGAGTTGTAAATCCTTGTTGGTATGAACTTTTACTTAGTTATGTGCTTTCCCACAATTTTTTTTTTTTTCAGTATAAAAACCAGAAGTAGAAGAGGAAGAATGAAGCCAAGAAGGACTTCGGTAAACATCCTTAGAGGACTTGCTGTCAAGCCCAGTACTATATTAGAATTATTGCCTGAAGTTTTCTCTTGGATAATATAAATACAATAATTTATGTTTCACTGGGATGTCATGAAGCTAAATTATATTTCTGAAGCTATTTAATTTTGTAAATGGCTTTGTGTAATCACAGTCTTCTAAGTTAAAGCCCAAGCTTGCCTAACATTTGAGTAACTTATTCCATGATACTGTTAGGCCTGGATCAACCCTAGCAGTGTGTGCTAACACTTGTGCAGGTTCTTTGGGGACAAGGGATGTCTTTTGGGGACATCCTCAGTGTGTGTGACACTGATTATGGCAGGCACTCTGCTGGCTCACACCAGCCTCTGCTGGGATGGTCACAGTGCCACTTGGGCCGGGTCTGTGCCCCTCCAGCCGGGTCTGTGCCCCTCCAGCCGGGTTCTGTGCCCCTCCAACCGGGTTCTGTGCCCCTCCAGCCGGGTCTGTGCCCCTTCAGCCGGGTCTGTGCCGCTCCAGCCGGGTTCTGTGCCCCTTCAGCCGGGTCTGTGCCCCTCCAGCCGGGTTCTGTGCCCCTCCAGCCGGGTCTGTGCCCCTTCAGCCGGGTCTGTGCCCCTCCAGCCGGGTCTGTGCCCCTTCAGCCGGGTCTGTGCCCCTCCAGCCGGGTTCTGTGCCCGTTCAGCCGGGTCTGTGCCCCGACCAGCGCAGTCGCTGCCTGTGCGATGCTCTGCAGCTCAGAGGTTTCACAACGCTTTTCAGCACATAAGAAAGGTCCTTTGAAGCGAGGGGTGGGTGTCGTTTTGGGGGGGCCCGCCGTGGCAGTCCGGGGTGCTCTCCCGGGGGAGCAGAGCCGGGCACAGCCCGCAGTGCCCGCGGTGCCCGCCCGGCTGCAGTTGCGGCGGGCGGCCTGCAGGTGGCGGTGCCGGGCCGGCACAGGCACGAGCCCCGGGGTCGCCATGGGCGAGCGGAGTTCGGTGAGACCGCCCCGGGAACGGGGCTGCCTCTGAACTTCACAAAGTATTGGATCAAAAACCTTCCTTTTCTCCGCTGACCCTACTCTCCTGGAATTCCTGCTCTCTGTTTTACTTCCTCTGCCATCCCCACTATTGTTCCTCTCTCTGCTCCTATTCTTTCACATCACCTTAACTTTCGTTATCTTTATTTTACCTATTTCTTAATGCTGTCCTCATCTTGTCTCTCTACCCCACTTACTTCTCCTCAAGTCTTTTTCTGTACCGGATGATACTCAGTACTATGCTGGAGCCAGCCTTCTGCTTAACTTCTGATAGAGCAGGAAGGTAATACACTTTCTCAACAGAGTAGGCTTTTCTCCATGTGAGGAAAGCCAGTTTGTCTTTCTACCTCAGTACATTATTTTTTGAAATTACTGCCATTCTGGTTTAAATTTTCAAAATAATTTGTTGCAAGGTAGAGCACAGAAAGTTTCAACCTCGGCAGTCAGCAAGGCATATCCAGTATGATCTTGAACACTAATAAAAAAGCTCAAGCATTTTTGATTGAAGCTCTCTGAATGTGCTGCTTCTGATCAAGACCAGAAAACAGGAGACCTGTGCTGTTCTCCAGGTCTGTTCTGCGTGTGTGGTCTGTAGCATAGAGATGCACTGAATTTTCTATCACTGCAATAGTGATTAAAAACTCTAAGACTTAGTGGGATTAAAGTGTATGGAAGCATGGCAGTTTCCTGAACTTTAAATGCAGAGTGGTCACACCCCTCTATGGCTTTAATTAACTTTTGGTAGTGTGAGATGTAATATTTTGTTCAGTTAAAAAATAGGATAATTGCATGTGTTTAAATCATTCTTACATGCCTGTTATTTAATTTATGGCTAGTTCAAGAGGGAAAGGACCATGGAGCTGGAAGGTACAGCCATGGCATGTCTGCAGCTCCAGATGTCTGAGGTGCCAGCTGAGATATGGGAGCATCAGACCAAAGGTATGATAGATGTAATTGACATGAAGGACCAGGATCTGAGAATTTTAGGGTTTGGAAAGTGATAGAGCATTCAATTCTCAGTAGGGCAGACAGAGAGCAAGGTTGGTGAGGCAGCAGACATCATGAGTAAATATTTTAATAGTACTGATTCAACTGGAGGTATGAGAAGATGTCTGAGGGACTTTTGTACAAACATAATCTGGTCTTCAAAGTAAAAAAAACCTTTTAATAGAATCAAAGATAATTTTATTTACTCAACGTATAGGTAATTTTCCTGCTGGTGAAGAGATATGATGCTAACTATTTACTTCCTTGTAATAGTGAAAGTAACTCCCATACCTCAGACATGTTTCTGTAATGACTGGACTGAAGAGTCCTTCAGCTGCAGAGCTGAGGCTTTTATGTTTTCAAGACCTTATACAAATTCTCCAGCAGCATAATTTGACACCAAAGATGTTATAGTAACCCAGATGGAAATGAGAACCTGAACTCTGAATGGGGTTTTGGGCAGAACTTCAGTATTTTCGACCAAAATTATTATTCCAAAAACTTCTGCTCAGAAGTCATTTAACCCTGGAGCTGTCCAAATTAATCACTCACTGACCTGTCTGACCCGTGACTCTCTTCACCTGTGTTTGAGCAGCTCTGCCTCTCTGCCACCCAGCCCTGCTGAGCCCAAAGAGCTGTTCCCTGTTCCCTTGGTGCTGCTGTGCTGGCAATTGCTGCCCACAGTGACAAAGACACGGTCACAGGCAGCGTCCTCCCGGGTTCTGCTGTGGCAGAAAAGGAGAAAATAGCCACCCCAAATAAACTGGTGCATCTGTGTTCCCATCTTCAGTTCTCCAGAATCTCTGACCACAAAGATGATGGGTAAACATCATGCATGGCTGTGTTGCATTCTGTAATTATTTTTGAAGAGTTTAAAAAACTCGTGATGCTCATGAGGCTGCGGGCAGAGCGAGGGATAATGTCAGTAAAAGGAGAAAAGTGTATTATAGGCTTCAGTTTCTTTTACTGGAATGAGGAACCCGTTTCTGTGCCAGTTCTGGTAAGTGATGGGCAGTTGGTAGGTGATTGCAGTAACCAAGGATCAAGGGCAGGCAGGAGGTGCTGTCAAAGCCCTGCTCTGTGGCTCACTGCAGAAGAATTCAGTTGCCACCACCAGTTTCAGTGGGGAAGAGTATCCTGTGCCATTGGCTAGCCCAGGGTTTTTATTGTGTTGAAACAAATGTAATAACTACATTCTGCCAAAAACACTTTTGCAGCTGGTTCCAATAAGATCTTGAGTCAATAACTTCTCCTAGGTAGTCCACAAGTAGGAGCTGAGTGAAGTTACCAGTTCAAAGGTTGTGTGCAGGCAACTCTTGATTAAGGCAGCAAGGGTTCCACTGGAGGCTTGTTATGTAAGAGCAAGACAAACATTAGAACAAGGAAAGACAGTTGGAACACTTCTGATTAATAAAGTGATATCATGCTTTACATTCCTGAAGTATGGAGAAATGAATCATTTAAATCACTCTACAGACTTATCAGCATCCAGTCTAAGGGCAGAACCAACACTGGTGCTATACTTTCAGTTCTGGGTGTACCCTTGGAAGCCTAAAGCTGAAATTGTATGAATAATCTGTACACTACAAATATGGAAGTAATATGTCAAAAGATGAATCAGTAGCATTAGGTTGTTCAATGTATTTTTAGTGTCTATGTTCCTGCTCTTAAGTCCACAGAGAAATGGTAAAAACCACTTTGGTTATTATCAGCCCTGGACCCTCATGCAGGAGCTTCCTGTGGAGTGAAAATCTTTCCCTTTTATTTATTTTTGTAATTCATTTATTCGTTTCAGGTTTTGGTATGGACAAGATTGTAAATTCATGATTTATGTAATATCCAACATAGCACTCTGCCCTTCACGTGGCCAGAGACAAATACACTTCTGATCACATTCTTGTGTCAGAACTGTTACTGATTTCCATTCACACTTGCCACCAAAAGTCATTTGAGCCTTGTGGGTATTGAATAGAATATTTCCAACCCAGGCCAGGCCTTGCTTAGCACCATTTGTCAGTAATGGAATATTCTTTAAATCATTCTTTAGCACTTCATAAACTTCTTCACGTGCTGAGTTATGTCACAGGCATTGCTTTTTGTTAGGGACACTTGAGCATGACGACTTGATGTTAAACAAACCCCCCCCACCCCGTGTTGTTTGGCTCATTTTCAAATGTCATAAGGAAGTAATCTTTACTGTGATACTGTAAGGAAGAGGAATACACACTATTTCTGAGAAAAACAAAGAATATTCTCTCACATCTTTTTTGAAGGAAACAGCTTCTTATTTTTAATAGCTTTTAACTTGGCATTATAAATTGTGCCTTCATATACAGCTTTGATAATCTGCAAAGTGAACAGGCAGCACACCTTAAATACTCAATATCATAATATCTATTCATTGTGAGAGTCCTTGACCTAAAACTGTAAGAACAGCTCTTTAGAACTTTATGCTCTACCATGTCACGTCCCTCGGTGTCACCCCAAAGAGCAGGGGTGATTTGAGGTGAGCAGTGGCTTGGTCAGGGCAGTCTAAAGCAGTCCCTGACACACAACACTGCTGGACAGGGACCTGCACTGCTCACTTGGTCTGTCCCTTTCCTGCAGCCTTGCCTGCTGCTCAGAGCTGGAACACGAGCCAGCTGCTGCATCTTTCAACTTTTGTATTATTTGATTCACTTATCTTATACTTCTGTCAAGCCAGGTTTTATGAAATAGTGTTAACTGAAGTATACACTAGTCATCAAGTACTCCTTTCAGCTTGTGATTAAACAGGGCAGACACATTAACTTTAAAAAAACCCATCTCTTTGAAGACTATTTTCTGTTTTCCTCATAATTGTGTTTGATATTTAAAACAGTTTTTAAAAGTTTAGAAGCAGAGGGAGGCATCTGTCACTTGCACCTAAGAGATTAACAGTGTTTGTCACTGGGGGAGAGGTCCCTGGCATTGCTCACTTCACTTGTGGAGTCTGAAGGGGAATGTTCTGGGACTGCTGTTTGCTGTCCTCACCTGTGGACACTGAATTTACCCCTTCTGTAACTACCAGCCTGGGTGACTTTTCCCCCAGAAGAATCTGCTTTCATGTTCTGCATGAATCCATTTTGAAAAGGATTATCTTGATTTTTGTTTTTTTTAATCAGCAGCTTCTGAGCCAGCTTGGTTTGGGTGCTTCACAGAATCATTCAGGCAAAAGACTTGCCAGCCTATGGAGTGCCAGCTGTGCCAGCTGTGCCAGCTGTGCCCAATCCCCACCTTGTCCCCAGCCCAGAGCACTGAGTGCCAAGTCCAGGCCTTCCTTGGACACCTGCAGGGATGGGGACTCCAAACCTCCCTGCCCATGTTTGACATCCCTTTCTGTGAAGAAACTCCTCCTGAAGTCCAGCCTCAACCTCCCCTGGCACAGCTTGAGTCTGTATCACTACCCCATATAAAATATTTTCTGCAGCTGCACAACTTCAGACTGAACGGCCTCATTGCCTGTGGGCTTCCTTCTGCCAGGGTTCAGCATCATCTGTTTAAAAAACACTGCACTTAATATCTTTTTATTGTTATACCTTATTTTTTGCACCATCTGTTATTCATTCTTGTTGAGAGAAGTTTAAAACTGCTGGTGTTTTGATTAATGTTCTCCCCTTCTACAGAATGGATTTTTTTAGATGCAAGATTGACAATCAATTCTTGTAACTGATGAGGTTGACTCATATTCTCCATTAAATAAAATCACACAAGATCTGGGATTTTCTCAGTCTTGCTTCAATTTCTTAGCAGTCATTTCATCTACAGAAAGTGGGCTGTGTCTCAGCTGGTGTGGAACAAGGAACAAGGAAAACTGAAAACAAATGCCAAGCAGAAGTTAGTCTGGAAAATATTATATCATGGTGGTGGACACAGGCAAAGGTTGAATATTTTGGAGCCACCTTCGTGATACTGAGCCAATAGGAGGACTGACTTTTCATTTCTAAAAATAGAGTATTTTGGTTCCTACAATTGTGTAACTGCAAGGGCTTCTTTCTCTTTTATTTTCTGTGTTTCCCTCCCATTTCTAGAGGTCGCAGAAATGGTGTGTTTAACCACAGTTTACAGTACAGAATGCTGACACCTGTTGAGTCTTGGAGCTTTCTTTCCCTCAAGAGCCCTTTTGAGTTTGTCCTTTTCCTAGCTGGAAGTATCTCACAGAGTGCATTGAAGCTTTCTGGCCAAGATTTCAAAAGTAATTCTTAGAATTACCTTTTGAGGTGCTTAATTCAGGAGACCTTCAAAGGGCACACAGCAGCTCTCAGACAGGCTGGGACTTGGGACAAGCAGCAGGAAATTGCTTATTCTCCCCTAGCATGGCTCTGAGTTAGGGATACTGACATGGTAATGATCATTTTACAACTATTTCAGAAACATGGTTTAAAAATACTGAGATCTCAAACCTTGCTCCCAGCTGACAGAATAGAGCCTGTAGGATGTCACAGTGACACTATGCCAAATCTGGTTATTTCTAATAGATTAAATGCAGTGAAAAGGCATCCAGGGTTTATTAAGAAATTTGAGATGGAGAGCCAATCCCTGCACTCTAACTTCATTATCCTCATAAGCAAAGGTGCAGGTTTTATAGCTGAGGTAATTATAAAGAATGTACACAATATGAGTGGTATTTAGCATAAAAAGTAACTTGAATGAACCATGTCTGGTTGAGAGAGGAACAGAACCATAAACCCTTTGATCTAACAATGAGGCTTTGAAAGGAACAGGTTGGGTACAGTACTGAACCTGGAATCCACTCACTTTATTGTATTATATGGGGAGGGCCTTATTTATTTACTACTTAGGAAGTGTTTTCAATTTTATAAGTGTCTGAAAGAAATCACAGTTCATAATTATGTAGCTTTGCTCCACAGAACTCTGTAACACTAGTAAAAACCTCTGGAATTCATAGGGACTGTCCGTTAAATGGGAGACACAAATCTTGCCTTTGTGCTCTATCAAATTCTGTCTTGGTCTATACTAACAAAACCAGTCTGGATAATTGCTTATCAGAATGTTTACTTTCCATGCTGTTCTTGGGTTCTGAGCCAAACTGGAATGAAAGGGAAAGACTCCCATGTACTTCAGTGATGTTCACCATCTTAAACCGTTTTTCACTACCTGGAATACTCAGAGGAATAGCCTGTGGTCAATCATGATTACCAGAAATAGAAGTGAAAC